TCTGCCATTATTAAAGAGAGAAAAATAGTGGAATGCTGCCCATTCCCAAAATTACTTCCATTTGCATAACAGTAAATATTTATTGAGTGAATAAATGACGTAGGTGGATGCACATTTTGTGGTGGGAATTGTGAATACAGATACAAATCATCTGTGGTCTCTGCCCTTAAGAAGCTAATATTGATTCCTTTCCTCTTTAATGAAAACTTAACAAGTTTTAGAGGCTTATATAATGGATTAATTCATTGCTTTCCATGGTACCTTCTGCAGGACCTTGTAAGATACACGAAGAGAGAAAGGCCCACTATCAAACCAGTTACATTTATTTTGTATACAGACTATATTCTTCTTATGAATTTGTCTCCAATGAATCTTCTATTAAAACAGAAGTAACTGTTTAATTTTGTTAAAGCAGTTACCTTTGCTTTACCAGAATGACCCACTTTTGAGTCTTTCAGGGCAGTTGAGGAGACTGGATGCTTGTGTAGAAGGGCCAATCACAATGAAAACTGCCAGTGGGCCGTTTTCAAAAAAGGATTTAGATATGAGATAACAAAACAAAGCTATTTTAGTTTTAGGTATAATTTCTAATTTTCAGAATCATTTTTCAGGTAAAAAGGAACATTGAATCAACCTGATTTTCACACTAAAAATAAACTAATAGCTACCAAAATTTATTTTTATGAAGATGAGCTATTAAGCGCCATGACAATCACACAGGAGAATACAAATCTTGGACAATGTTAGTTTGTACCTGTTTTCACCGGCTGTTGAATGTGAGCTTGGCCCTGGCACCAAATTAGAGTAAATGTTGCATCCCAAAGCGTTGGCAGAGGAAGTTTTGCAACTCATTACATCACTGTTGAATCCCTTCACCCTCAAGGCCTGGAAGGTTTTGAGCAGAAGGATTTTGTGGCGATTGCTTTGGAGGCTTATGCTGTGGTTTCTCACCTCTGCCTCCTTAGAGCCAGCCAGGAAAGGGGCTGCTGCTTGCCTCCTGCAAATGGAGGTGTGTTCTGGTGTGACCCTGGCCTGGGGGCGTGGGGGTGTGGGGGTGTGAACAGCTCTAGCATTGAAGGAAGAGGCTGCTGAGTTTGGCTGGGCCTTTTCTCCAAGAATCAAGGTTCAGGACACGGATGTGGGCTGTGGTAGAGCAGCCTAGGATGGTTCTCATCCTGCCTAAGAACCTACGACCTTGCTGGGGCTAGAAATGTAGACAAGTGCTCAGTGGAGACACAGGACCGTGCCCTCCTCTTCTGTACTTGAGCGCCAGGGCAGGAGTTTTAAATACTCCTCCCACATATGAATTGAGACTGTCTCTGTGGCTTGAAATGACTATAGAACTTCTATGACTTACAGTAACCAGGTAAGTCATAGCACCTAACCTAATATTCACTCCAGGGCGAGTGGGTTACCCCCACTGACCTAAAGAAGCTTAGAGAGATGCCGGGAGACAGATCAGAGCTGCTTTCACGATTCCTCCATGAGCCCTGCTTGTTCAATGCACGGCTCACACCGTTAAAGTCAACCAAGACGGGGCACATATGATATTGGCAAATGCCTGCAATACAGCAAGACGCTGTTATAATGTAACACCCACTACATATGTGCCCGTGAACCCCTAAGCCTGGTGCTGTGAAGAACAAATTGGCCATGGTTTAGTTTATATGTCTTGTGAGACTAGGGACAGGGGCAAGAAGTGACATGTGAGAAGGGGTCACAGTACAAGGGAGGCACAAGCTGATTCTGGCCAAGGGGCAAGCCCTATTATGGGGTCCTGTAGTCCCTCCGTCCACCACTCTGGGGGCCTCTACTGGGTACCTCGCACTGGGCTGGATATTGCGATTCTAAAGCTGTTGTTTTCCCTGGCACCTCACAATCTAGCAGGGGCGACTAACAACAATGTAACGAATTGACTCTGGAGGTATAATGAGTTAGTGTAAATCAGAGTAAGGCATCTGTTCATTTAAAAGTGAGGGTTAACAGCCCTGGCCAGTGTGGCTCAGTTGGTAGGGCATTGTCCTATTCACTGAGAGGTCAGAGGCTCCATGCCCAGTCAGGACACATGCCCGGGTTTCAGGGGCTCCATCCCATTGGGGGTGTGCAGAGGCAGCGGATCGATGTCTCACCCTCATCGAAGTTTCTTTCTCTCTAAAATCAATAAAAAGTGAGGTCACCTGGCCAGTGTGGCTCAGTGGTTGAGCACTGACCTATGAACGGAGAGGTCACAGGTTTGATTCCTGGTCAGGGCACATACAGGAGGCAGCCCATCAATGATTCTCTCTCGTCATTGATGTTTCTCTCTCCCTCTCCCTTCCTCTCTGAAATCAATAAAAATATATTAAAAAATAAAAATAAAATAAAAAGTGAGGTTTAACAGTGGAATTTGGCTTTAAACTAAAGGTGGGCATTTGCTAGATTGAGAAACATTTAGCCTTTGGTCTGCATTCACTGTGATCCTTAATATTGCATAAGCATGAGTATCATCTGGAAGCTCCAGACCTCCAGAGATTCTAACTCAGATAGCATTCCGAAGCTTAGGAGCACCGGCTCTCCACCCTCCCAAGATCCCATGTATTCCTGACACAGGTTTTGGCATTTGGGAACCACCAGAAGGTCTCAGCAAAAAGATGTGACTTGGGCTTATGAGGGCCTATTGGCTACCCTGCACCTGGTCATGGTTTTCCTGAAGACGGCACTCAAAAAGTCCACCAAACAAACATAACTAGCATCTCTTTGTTTTTATTGCTATTTTGTAAAGCCTAATATTTTTCTAAAAAAAAAAATCAGTTTACATGTAGTAAGTTACAAGTAAACAGCTATAGATAACATAGCCATTAGAAAAAAAAAGAACTAAGTATGAAAACAAAAGCAGAAAGCAGCAATAAAATTAACACCTACATACAACTAGCAGTGCAATAAGATACGCAGAAAGCAGCTTTACCTGGAAAGAAAAGGTGATTTAAATACAGAAATAGCACCTTACAAAAAGGAATTGAGACATGTAAACGTGGTAGGCAGATTCAAGTATAAAAGTTATACCCCCAACTCTTGTACCAGAATGAAAGGGTTTCACAAACCCTGGACAGTGTAGGGCACACACCCTCCTCAGTGCCAACTCAGAGCTGCATTTCCTTAGTAGGATCACCAATGATTGTTTTTTTCTTTTACTAAATCATACAATGACAGACTCAAGATTGCCACTGCCGCGTCACGGGCCCAAACACCCAAGTCCAGCTCAGCAGCTTCACTGAGTTGGTGGCTCTGTAAGAAACAGACGCATCATCAGGACAGAAACCGCCATGCATTGTTTCCACATGTCACACAGCCACATTACGACGTGGGTATTGAATACAAAAGGCACCTGTTCTTAGTTTTCTATCGCTAAGTATGGTCACAGAATCGTGATATTCCCGTTTATGGGGTTACTTCCTAACACTCCTCAAGAACTGTGAATTTTCCGAGGTTTATGTGGTTATATCATGATCAGAATTTTTTTTTAAAAAAAAGATAGTAAAGTTAAAGTGAGGAACATCTAAGGACAGAGGAGATAATCAGTCTATGTTTTGATTTAAATGCAGACCTCTTGAGTGAAAATATTTGGGGACAGTCTCCAGCAGGGCAGCTCTAACCTGCAGCCCCCTGTGCAGGTTTATATCCGGAGTCCTGAAAAGGGCCTGTTCTCATTTGTTCCGATGGGGATCCCATCATATCCGTTCAAGGTAATCATTACCATGCAATGGTGGAGGACTGAACATTTTTATCTGTTGAACTCCAGAGAAGGTTGTAAAAAAGGGGAAAAAGAGCATCTTGTAAACTTTAAAAGTTTAGTGTTAGTAAAATTTTATATGGTAGCAAATTTACTTATTCTAACTACCTACTTTTAGTTTTAAAAAAAAATCTTATGGGGGTATTAAGGCTAATAATATCCGGTAGTTAATATACAGCTACTTTACACAGACTCCCAGAGTCTCTTAAATTAGTATTTTTATTCTTTCATATAACATTTTATTGGGTCCAAAAATAAAAATAAAATAAAACCCTAAACCAAGACTCCAAATCCAAGATAGAAATTTAAAAAAAGAGAAAGGAATAAAGAAAGAGGAAGGGAAGGACCCATTTATTCTGAAGAAACAGGAGTGAGGTTAAGATCAATAAATTTAGGCATACAAAGATCTCGTCTGGCTAATGCACCGAAGCCCTGAAGTAATCCGGGTTGACAAAGGGAGACTGCGTGACAGCCTCCCGAATTGCAGTCACGCTGAACTATGAGCCCCTGCTTTCACGTGCTTGCTCTCTGTCCTCTGAACATAACTCTGGTTTGAATGCTCTTGGGTACTCAACAACCTGTGTCCACTTTCCTCTCACCCTTCCAAACTGAAGACAAAAAGTAAAGGAAAAAATAATCACCTACTGTCCTAGTATCAGTGTCTACATTAATTCTTCAGAATTCTACCAAAAGACCCTATTCAGATTCCAATTTCCCATACAATTACTTCCCACCCTCCTGATGTACTCAATGAAGAGCAATTGTTAGAAGGCATCCAGACCTGACATTTAATATTTAAATAATTTTAAAAAAAGCACCCCACAGGGGCATGTAGTGAAGGACAGTGAACACAGTCAGGTTTTTTTGTTGTGTTTTTTTTTGTCCACAGTTAACTGAGAAGCAGCGGTTTGGCTGCTGTAGTTTATCTGAGCTCTTGTGCCCAGACAGGGTTAGCACATCTGTTGTAGCAAGGTGTGCCATTCACAGTTATTTTGGTCTTGACATTCTGTCATGTGTACCAACATTATCCACATTATCTCCAAGTTGTAAAGTAAGTGCAGGGCAAATTATAGGGGGAAAGCACAAACATTCAAGTCGTCACACCCTGAAGAGCACGTTTTGCTGTACAGTGGGGCCTTGACTTACGAGTTTAATTCGTTCCGAGACCGAGCTCGTTAACTCAAATTACTCTGTCAACTCAATGCAAAAAATCGGCGGAGAGACAGCTGGTATCTCAAAAAACTCGTTAGTCGGGACACTCGTAAGTCAAGGCCCCACTGTACTTGTAAACTTTCTGCACTAAGTCCCATTCCGGGAACACAATAAATAACACGGTAGGATTCACAGCTGACGCTGTCTTCCTGATGAAGCCTTTTAATCTGCAGGAAGGAAGGCCCTCTCACCACAGATCTGCTCAGGGCAAGTGGAAAGACACGTCAGGGACACTCACCCTGGCTAAGTGCTGGACAGGCCCCACCTTAGGGAAACGACAGGCTCCAGTAGCTTGTTCCGATCTACTTCGAGCAAATAGAGAATTTTTGGAGCATAACAAGTCAGCGGGCGCTTTCCCTGCCACAACAGGCACAGGGTCTGGGCGCTAACTGGTACTAAAGGCGCAATTAGTAACAATGACTTTCAGGAGAATAGAGGGTGGTGTGAAGTTAACGTGAGGACCGGAGCGTGAAAGGCGCGATGGCGTGCATTCTGCTTCGCTCCAGCGCCAGGACCTGACCTGTGACAGACAGGGAAGCTCGGGCGGTCTGAGGCACACCATCGGGCAGGGCACCGGCTAGTGGGCACCGCCGCTGGGTATTTCAAGTCTCCGCTGCGCCGAGCTGGCGTTTTGCGACTGCTTGCTCTCTCTTCTCCCAAGGACCCGGTCTCCAAGGCTGCCGGGCGTCTTGAAGAATGTCTCACAATGTGTGTGTCGGGTGCTCTTGGGGGTCCCTGGAGTTGGGGACTACAAAAGAAAAACAGAGTAAATAAAAGCAGAAGGGAAGTCAAATTGTTCTCTGTCTCTAAACTGGAAGTCCCGTGTCATTATGGTCCCTAAGCAGGCGGTCCCTCCTCTTTGCTTTTCTATCACATTCATGCGACTTATCTCCTCAACACTTACCACAATTGGAAATTAACTTACCTTGTGTGCAAAAAGGCAGCCTAACAAAGAATTTATAAGCATGGCACCTGGAGCCAGGGTCTGGGCTCTGCCATAATTAGCTGTGTGACCTTGGGCAAATGATTTAACCAGTATGTCCCCCAGTTTCTTCATCCATACGATGGGGATGATAAAAGTACCGACTTTAGAGGTTGTAAAAACTGAACAATATAATACTGGTAAGGTACTTTAGAGCATGCCAAGCAAACAGTAAGTATGTGTTTCTTGGCTCTTTTTGTTTATTGGTATTTATCCTCTCCTGTTAAATGTTAAACATTTATCCCCTTAACAAGCTCTATGAGGGCAGGACTATTATCCTGTTTACTGTTAAACCCTCACTGCCTAGGTCAGTGCCTGGCACATAACTGGTGATCAAAAAGTATATGTTACATTGTAATAGCCTTGTTTAAGGACTACCATGTTTATTTCAACGCCTACTAAACTTCTGAGCCTCTGAATAACATGTTTAAAATATTTTTTTGCAGCAACATAACTCTTTCTTTCGGAGAGAAAGCACTCTGAAAAATGCTTAATGCATGAAAGGAATTAAACAAATACTTATTGACTAAAGTATAAATGGAGTTTGGGGAGAAATATAGTTTGATTAATTTATATTAATCATATACACTTATATATGTACATTTGCCTCTGTTCTGAGTGTGTATGCATATAGATGCCTCCTAAACACTGCATTTTAAGAAATGACAGGTGCTAAAAATCTTTGTGTCAGTATCAAGACTTCCGAAGTTTCTCTTGTTTCTGCACAATTAAAATTCAGGGTGGTCTCCTTTATGGACCTAACGAAATGAAAACTTGGAGAATCTGAACATTCAGCATTCATCAAAAATTTACCTGAACTAAGCCTAAAATAATTTCCTCTAATTAAAAACAAATAAGACACATTTTTGTCTTTAAAGCACGGATCTCCTGCCACAGGCCTCTGTACTTTATAAGCAGGTAACGGGGTCTGTAGGGGAAGCGGGGAGAACCTCACCCGGAGCCGCTGCCCTGCATTCAGGTGACTAAAACCAAAGCTGGTGAGATGCAGGCACCCCCGTCCCAGAGCGATGAGCCTTCCTGTGCAAACGGAAACAAAACTTCAGGACTCACCTGCTGTAATTTCACCACAGAGCCTGGGTGTCCTTCGTACACTGGGGATGTGGGCTGGGTGGCGTTGTGGAGTCTGGACATCACTGGACTCTGGTTAAGTGAGTGGGGACCCTGAAGCTGAGGGTCTGCCGGAGAGAGTGTCGAGGAGTTTGGGTTAACCAGGGCTGCAGGGCCGAGGAGAAGATGAGGCGTTGATCCGAGGCCTGGCAAGCGGAAATTCCCAGGTCCCATGTTTGGGACAGTGCCAGGGGCAGGGGAAACCGGCCCGGCCATTGTGGGAGAATAGAGAACAGGAAATGGGCCTAGTGTCGAAGATGGTAAGACCATGCAAGGGACACCGAGGGGTGGCAGCTGACCCGAAGGTGGTCTCATAGCATGAGGGGTCTGACTGCCAGGTAGGAGCACATTGAGACCATTTAATCCTGAAACAAGCAGAACAAGGCGGAAGTCAGAATGAAGGTCCCATTCAAGCTCAAATTCCTCAGGGCACTTGCAAATGGGAGCCCCCAGTGAATCAACCTCACCAGAGCAGTCAGCGCTCCCCTGTGCCCTCCCAGCCCCTTCCCTGTGCTCTCCCAGCCCCTTCCCTGTGCTCTCCCAGCCCCTCCCCTGTGCCCTCCCAGCCCTTCCCCTGTGCCCTCCCAGCTGGCACTGCCTCTTTGCAGCAGGAGCTCTGGCTGAACCCACCCCCGTATTTCTGTGTGAGAACTGGGTGGATGGCTGTGTCTCCCGAGGGGGATTTCAATGTGAACACCACTGCACTGAAATGGAGGAGGAATGGAACTTGGATGGGAAAAACTGTATCTTTACTTCTATGACCTGTAGCTGAAATTTATATTTCCCTCAGTTAAGACCATGGGCAACACATCACAACACTGTTACTACTACCTTGACTTTGTCACTAGAACAAACACAGATGTATTCATAGAACATTGCAGCTATGGCAGATTTCTGAAGACTGTTACGCTCATCACAATTTTGAAATTATGAGAGTACTGGCTTTTTTGTCACATATTTTTATTACTATAATTAAAAAACATTTTTCTAACTGTATCTATAATAATAAAAGCGTAATATGCTAATTAGACCAGACAGCCGAACGACCTTTCGGACATCCTTCTGAGTGACCTTCCGGATGAAGCCGGGGCTGTGAGGGCCGAGCGGCTTGCAGGAATTTCGTGCACCGGGCCTCTAGTTTCCATATAATTGGCTTCCTTTGTAATCTCTGTGTTCTGTGCACTTGTAAGTGTGCTCAGGAGGAATCCCTGGGCTGTACCACAGAGGCAGAGGGTCCATGGCCACGTCTGGGTTTTGCTCAATATATCTGTAACACTGAGAATCACGTTTGAACTCTCACAAAATACTTGCCAAAGGAATAAAGAATGTCTTCTAGAGGAGCGAATAATAACCAGTTCCTACCTACCTGTGAAGTGAACAAGGACTTGAGGAAAATCAATTTAAGTCTCTTTCCATCCAGAGCAGCTTCATGTACTCTGTGCATATCTAAATTAGGTGTCTATTATACTTCAGCTTTACTTCAAAATGGTAACAGCATTTATTGAGTCTTACTAAGTGTCAGACACTATTATTCTGAATGCTTCAGATGTATGCTCATTGAACTGAATTTTCACAGCACCCCTCCCCCCAGGAAGCAGGTGCTGTTGTGATTGCCGTTTTACCAATGAGGGTGGCTGCAGACCGCCTTTCGCTCCCACAGACAACAGGGGGCTTTCACACCCAGCCCTTCTGCTGCAGCCCTGCCACCTGACCAGTCACAGGCTTGTCCCTCTGGACATTCAAGAGATCAGCACACTAGGGGCACACAGTGGCCAACTGGCTCATACTGTCACACTGAACCAATGTCAGACTCAGCCGAATTATAAAAAAGAATCATGTTTTGAATTTGTTGTGCCTTTTAAAATTTTAAATCCTCACCCAACGATATGTTTTTTATTGATTTTAGAGAGAAGAAGGGAGAGAGAGAAACATCGATGTGAAAGAGAAACATTGATTAGTTGCCTCCTGTAGGTGCCCCAACCGGGGATCGAACCCACAACCTATTTATGTGCCCTGATCAGAAATGGAACCCACAACCTTTTGGTATATGGGACGAGGCTCCAACCAACTGAGCCATCTGGTCAGGGCTATTGTGCTTTTTTTAGCAAATAAAGTTTAATACTTTTTTTTTAAAAATCACTTTCGTAATTATTTTCCCATTAACCTGGAGGTTGGCAAAAGTCTAAGCAGCCTCTCCCTTCGTTTCATCCGTGGAGGAAACAAGAGGGCTGAGAGTAAAATGACTCGAAGGCTCATCAATGAACTGCTTTGGTCAGGTGACACGGAACAAGATTTAAGAATCCAACTGATCGTCGATTACCCCAAGGGCCTTTGGGACATGACGACATCCCTTACCGGCTGGTGGCTGCACGTAAAGACACTGCAGCAAAGAGGGCTCGGTGGTGCCTTCATTTTCTTGCAAAGGCTTTTCAGTCTCTGTGTTCCTTGGAAGACTTCCCCACTCGGAAGAAATGAAGCCATGTGCTGGAGCCTTTCCCCAAACGCCCCTTGCAGCAGGCAGGTGGCTATTCAAGGGCATGTCTTCAAGGGACACAGACGCCCTGTTACCCCGCATCTTGGGAAAGGCAACATCTGAGGAATCTGCGGATTTCTAAGCACAACCAAACCAGGAACCAGAAAAGCAAGTCAAAATCCCAGCAGCAAATCTTAATAACTTAATAATGTTAGCACAACAAAAATAATCTTGTTTTGCTTTACCAAAACAACTGCCACAGAACAGGAAGGTCAAACACGGCTATGCACAACAGTGACTTGTGTATGTCTGTTGTCTTGGTCACGTTTTAGGAATGGCCTGAAAATCAGGGTCACGTCTCAAGCATAGAAATGGCGGAGATTTTCATAAACCGGAAAACGGGCCATGATGTTCAGATTGTGCAATATGTTTCTGAGCTGCCAGCACAGAAAGGGTGGTGATACCACAGTCTTTGAGGGGCCTGATAAGAATTGCGGGGAGGCCCAAAGCTGTCTTGGTTATCTAAGGATTCCCAGGAAGGGTGCCCAGCTGACCCACGACAACCCGCTGCAATGCCAGTGCTCCTGCTGTCTGCGAGTCTCACTGGTCACGCCCCATCAACCTCTGCATGGCCACTAAGCGGGAGACGTGGGCAGCTCCTGTGTTTGCTCTTTTCCCTTTGTGGGGAGGGAGACGGGATCTCTGAGCAGAGATGAAAACTGACCAAGCACAGGCTCTGAAAGTGAAGTAGCGTCCACATTCCGGACTCTGGAACTTAGCTGAGTCCTGGATTAAGATGTCTTCAGTGATCTCAATGTATTTCAAACAAAAGGACGGCAACAAGACCAGGAGGAAATATACAGGCGTGTGAACAGTGGTGGCCTCTGTGTGGTGGCATTATGGGTAGAACTTTTCTTTAAACGTTTTGTCATTTTATACAAAGTGTGACTTTTATAAAAATCACTTACTTTTCTTATAGTACTACTTTACGGCAAGCCTTTTGGGGAAAGCAAGTTCAGGCCTTAAATATGCAAGTGGCCCATGAAATACCCCCTGTTCCAGACTCAGTAGCTTATTAACCTCGGTGTGTCCTCATTAGGAAGAAGCTCCGGAAATAGGACGTCCCCAAACACACCCACCCAAGAATCCACCGTGATGCCCTTACCTTGGGCATGACCAGGGACAGAGGGCCGTCTTCATAGTCCCTGCTTTGTCTTTTAGCGGCCGGCTCCTCCTCCTCCTCCTCCAGCAGCTGCCTCTCCTCACCCAGGCGCTTCTGGGCTGCAGGTGTGGACCACAGCGCTGCGGCTGAGGCCTCTGAGCCTCTGCTGTCCCTCTCGGACCCGGGCTCGGGGAGCGGTCCCTCCCGCAGGCTCCCGCACAGCATGTACAGAGAGGCGGAGGGCACGTACAGCAGGGGCTGGCTGGCCAGCAGGCCTGGCTTCAGGCTCTCCACGTCTGAGGCCGCAGAAGCAAGGGAGACACCTACTTGTCTATTCAGACCATTCTGTGTGGAGAAGGCCTGCAAGTCCGTCTGAGGCATGGAAAACACCTGGTGGACTAAAGGATTGACACAGTATTCTGAGTCCACAGGATGGACAGGGAAAGGAGGGGTGGGGTCCAGGCTGCTGGATGGAAGTGTCACCCTCTCCCCGTCCAAGGCTTTGCCCCTATAATAAAAAGAAACAACAGGAACCACTGAGTTACCACATTCTACCAACTCCCGACTCTACTTTTCTGAAGAGACGCACCAAAGCAAGAGTGGGGAATACTGCTCGGTTGTTAAAGTGTATTCCCTGAACACATATTAGGTAACCTAACCGCAGAGGCGATGACCAGGTATAACCAGGATCGACAGTTGGCGAGGGGGCAGGGAGGGAGGAGCTGATGGCTAATGGGGGAGTTGCTCTGGGAGGATCTGTTTAGAGCTAATACTGGCCCCTTCCACATCTAATAGTTATCAATTACCCAGCAGGTACCCCTTACCAGGCACATGGGTACTACAATAATTAGCACAACATTATAATACTTTACACAATTGTTATAATATTAGTCACCACTCTCATCCCCCCAGTTTATTAGGGAACAAAACTGAGGTCCAGAGGGTAAGCAATCTCCTGAAGGTCACCCAGAGGGGCCTCTTGCTCAGTCACCGTGAGAGATCCGGGCTGCTTAAGAGACTGGACAACTTTGATTTCAAGGATACATCCCATTTGTCTCAAATCCTCTGTGAGACAAATGAAGTGGGCAATGAGTGAGGAAATACACTTATCTACAAAATTATTCTTTTCTGTCATTCTTATCCCATTCTGCTCAGTATTACTATAGACTTTTTAGGCAACGCATTCAAAATCAAGGCCCATCAATATGTGAGATTATAAACATTATCTGGCCTTTTATACAAAAACTAGAGGCCCGGTGCACAAAAATTTGTGCACTCGGGGGTGAGGGGGGACCCCTCAGCCCAGCCTGTGCCCTCTCGCAGTCTGGGACCACTCGGGAGATAACGACCTGCTGGCTTAGGCCCGCTCCCGGGTGGCAGAGGGCAGGCCCAATCCCTAGGTACAGCCCCTGGTCGGGCTCAGAGCAGGGCCAATTGGGGAGTTGGGGCGCTGCCCCCTGTCATGCACAGAGCAGGGCGGATTGTGAGGTTGTGATGCCACCCTCAGTCACGCTCAGGGTAGGGCCGATTGGGGGGTTGGGGCTC